GTCAAAAAATTTGAACCAATGAGTTACCCCTCAACCCAATCAAACTCTTCCACCGCCGAAATCACCCACAAATTCATGCTTCTTATCTTTTGCTTCACCAATGAATATGGTGCCTCTATGTTCTGCACTTTGGTAGACAACATCTTCCAGGTCCTCATTGCCACGGGTACGGTGATCGGGTCTGCGAACGTAGTGCATATGAATGACATACAAAGCAATGGGTTTGAACTTTTTCTCCTCTGGTTTTCATTTTCCCTTAAAGTCCCATCACAACCATCTCACCGTACTTGTCTATTGGGTTCTCTCTTCTGCCTCCGTCCATTTCTTTCTTCTTGGAGGAGGCATCATCAAAATTTTCTACAGATTCTATAGTCATTCAATGGCTAACAATCACACCAAGGTGAGCGATTTATCGACAAACCCAGAACAAAACCAATATCAGAATTAAAGATATACAGATTATTAATATCCATATAGAAAGAGAGAAAGAGAACACTGAGTACTGACCTTAAGAGCCGAGGATTTGTGAAGCGTCGATGGATTGAGTAGGGTTTGGGAAGGGGGTGTGAAGATGGTTTGGAGAGAATTTTCTGGGAAATTGAGAGAGAAAGAGAGTGGGAAAGTGAGCTATGTCGGGACTTCAGAAGTGTAAATTGAGTGAATGTTCGAGACAAATATATTGAATAGTTTTGTGAGGAGCTCCTAGCCTTCAAATATAAAAATAAAAAATAAATGTATTTTTTTTCCTTTTGAAAATGATAATGTGAAGAGACCAAAATTACATTTTTAATAATGATTTACAAATGATAATTTGAATTTTTTAATCTTTAACTTCCCAATTGTGAACGTTAAAATTTTCAAAATTAAATTCAAGCCTTTATAGTATTATCATATTTTATAGGTATTTTTTATCTAAGGATTTTTTTTTGATAAATCTCATTTAGAGGTGTTCTAAACCAAGAAGTTCACCAAGAAAAATTATAATGTTGTTAGTTTATGTATTTATACTTTTATTTCATGAGGTCCTTTTTTTTTAATTTATCTTGTTTATTGGACGAATATACTCTTATGTCTATGGTTGATATGTATCCATTGAAATATATAGATTTATTTCTTTTTGTTACTACCTCTATTTTGATAATTATCATTATTCATATTTTTCTTTTGATCAGTTTCATTTACATTTGTGGTATTGGTTCATTGTGCTAGGGTTTCAAAACTCTCTATTTGGTAGAATTTAGAAACTCTAGTTTACACATGATAGTGAATATATATTATTGTTCATCCATTGTCACTTTGTGTTCAAAATTCTGTACTTGTCCATTATTGCTCTGTATTCGAAACTCTATGTTTCTCTATTGTTTATAAGTCGAAACTCTATTTATGTCCAGTCAATTTTGTTACAAATATATTCTTCAAAAGGTAAGTTTGGTTTGATTGGATTGGTGAAATAGTGAAATTGTATAGATTGTTTAATAATAGTGATAATGATAAAGATGATGATGAAGATGAGGATGTGGATGATATTTTTTTATTTTTAGAGTGATTGAGTTTTTTTGGATTTCTATAGCGATCCTAATTTCTTCGTAAGTCTTTAATTATTTATTATTACTTGATTTTATTTTGATTTTATTAATTGTGTAGTTATATAAAAATTTAATGTGTTATTTAATTAATTTAATGTGTTAGTTAATTATATAATTAATCTAAATATTTATATTTTATATATATATAATTAAAAAAGAAATTATTGATATAAATTTATATAAGATATTAATTTATATATGTGATTTATTTATATAATATAATATAATAAGAAATTAGGTTATTATATGGATAATATTTATAAGTAGGCACTAGGTTTAGAAGTTAATACCGAAAAAAAAAAAACAAAAAACAAAAAAAAAAACAGAGAGCAAGCTCTGAGAGACGGAAGCAGCAACGGAGTGTGTGTGTGTGCGCGCGCGCGCGTGAGAGAGAGAGAGAGAGAAGGAGAGAGAGAGAGAGAGAGAGAGCGCAATCAAAGAAGAAGAGAGGGTCTAGCGGCTTTGTGTGTGAAATAGAAAGGAGAGGAAGAAAAGTTTTCTTTTGGTGGTTTCATTAATCTTTTGAATATTTTTTAACCTTTAAAAAAATATGTGAATACAAAATTTATTTTTTCTTAATTTATATTTAATTTGTTATTTTATTTATTTATTTGATGTTAATTGATTTCATGTTGTATTAGATGATTGATCGGTTTTAATTATTTTGATTAGTTGTGTATGTAAGGTTTAGGATTTTTAGATGATTGATTGATTTTAATTATTTTATTTAATTGTGTATGTAAGGTTTAGGTTTTTAGTTGATTGATTAATTTTAATTATTTTGATTAATTGTGTATGCCAGATTTAGAGTTTTTTATATGGATTTATTTTATGGTTGTAATCACACTCATGGTATTATGAAATTAAAATTAATTAGAAATCCATAAATAAATTCCTTATACTCCACCATGACTCCATGGATTGTATTTTTTTTTTAGTGTTAGTCAGAAGTGTATAAAAAAAGTGAGGATTATGATTTATTTGAATGCCTTAGGTTTGGCATTGTTATGTTTGTTTCTCATGAATGAGATATTTTGTATATGTATATTGTTGCTTCGTTCTCATGAGTAGACGAGTGCTTTCCTTTACTGCGTACGTATATGCTAACCATCCGGGAGTGTAGGTCAAAATCGGGATGATATCCCGTACCAGTTTGGCTTCGGAGAAGTGTTAGGTATACGGGAGGCACATGGGATATATGTGTAGGCCGGAAGTGAGAATGGTTGAAATTGTGGAGTTAAGGTACAATGAATTAAATTACGAGTTTTCTTGGTATGTGTGAATTTGTTGATTTTTTTATTTCTGAAAAATAATAAACGACCTCAATAAATTATAAAATTTGAGCAGATCGATGTATACATGATATCTAGACAACTTTTGTGTTTAAACTTTTTATTAAAAAATCGAATATTTATAATCGGATGATCTATTATAGTAGTTTTAATTCATTTTGGCAATACAGATTTTAGATGCTGTTTTAATCACCAAAACGAGCTCATTTTTATTGGTTTTTCATAAATTAAATAAAACATTATTCTACACACTTTTTATGTTTTGAACTTTTTCCGGAAAACAATCATCTTAGGGCAGTTTCTGTTCGTTTTCAGTTTCAAATTTTCGATGAATTCCGTCTAGATTCTTCTATCAAGTTTCTCTCAACCTGTTCAGTTTCTGTTAAATTTGTTTCTTATTGTCTTTTAGGAAATTTGATTCTGTACAATTTTTATTCTTTGAGTTTTGGTCAATTCGAATTATTAAGCATAAAACGGTGCATTTTTAACTTCTTCACAAGTTACTTATGATTAAATTATACAACTTATTTTTTACAGGATAGTGGGCTTATTAATTATTTATACAGGGCTGACAGACCATAGTTATTTCTATTTTTTCTATTTTATTACTCAATTATATTTCGTTGTGAAGCAAGAAACTAAAAGTAATGACCAGAATTTTTTTATTTTTAAATAGCCAGTGCATAATTTAATTGAGCAAATTGGCATACACAACTAATCAAAATAATTAAAATCAATCAATCAACTAAAAACCATAAACCTTACGTAAACAACTAAATAAAATAATTAAAATCAATCAATTATCTAAAAACCCTCTAATTACGCCACACACACAACACACTCTTTTTTGTTCTTTGCTCTCTCTCTCTCTGTCTCTCCCCACACAACCCTTTTTTTTTTTTTTGTTCTTTGATTACTCTCTCTCCCTTTTGTTTTCTTTCTTCTTAACTTCTAAACCTAATTGACTTCTTATATTATATTATACAAATAAATCACAAATATAACATATATAAATATAAATATCTTATATAAAATCTATATCAATAATTTTCTTTTTATATATATAAATGTATAAATATAAATATGCAGATTAATTATAATTAACTAACACATTACATTAATTAAATAACACATTAAATTTTTATATAACTACACAATTAATAAAATCAAAAATAAAATCAAGTAATAATAAATAAATAAAGACTTACGAAGAAATTAGGATCGCTATAGAAATCCAAAAAAAACTCAATCACTCTAAAAATAAAAAAATATCATCCACATCCTCATCTTCATCATCATCTTTATCATTATCACTATTATTAACAATCTATACAATTTCACTATTTCACCAATCCAAATCAAACCAAACTTACCTTTTGAAGAATATATTTGTAACAAAATTGACTGGACATAAATAGAGTTTCGACTTATAACAATAGAGAAACATAGAGTTTCGAATACAGAGCAATAATGGACAAGTACAGAATTTTGAACACAAAGTGACAATGGATGAACATAATATTATTTCACTATCATGTGTAAACTAGAGTTTCTAAATTCTACCAAATAGAGAGTTTTGAAACCCTAGCACAATGAACCAATATCACAAATGTAAATGAAACTGATCAAAAAGAAAAACCTGAATAACGATAATTATCAAAATAGAGGTAGTAACAAAAAAGAAATGTATATATTATTTTTCAATGGAATACATATCAACCATAGACATAAGAGTATATTAGTCCAATAAACAATATAAATTAAAAAAAAAGGACCTCATGAAATAAAAGTATAAATACATGAACTAACAACATTATAATTTTTCTTGGTGAACTTATTGGTTTAGAACACCTCTAAATGAGATTTATCAATAAAAAATCCTTAGATAAAAAATACCTATAAAATATGATAAAATACTTGTAAAGGCTTGAATTTAATTTTGAAAATTTTAACGGTTCACAATTGGGAAGTTTAAGATTAAAAAATATCAATTATCATTTGTAAATCATTATTAAAAATGTAATTTTGGTCTCTTCACATTATCATTTTCAAAAAGAAAAAAAATACATTTATTTTTTATTTTTTATATTTGAAGGCTAGGAGCTCCTCACAAAACTATTCCATATATTTGTCTCGAACATTCACTCAATTTACACTTCTGAAGTCCCGACATAGCTTACTTTCCCACTCTCTTTCTCTCTCAATTTCCCGAGAAAATTCTCTCCAAACCATCCTCACACCCCCTTCCCAAACCCTACTCAATCCATCGACGCTTCACAAATCCTCGGCTCTTAAGGTCAGTACTCAGTGTTCTCTTTCTCTCTTTCTATATGTATATTAATAATCTGTATATCTTTAATTCTGATATTTGGTTTTGTTCTGGGTTTGTCGATAAATCGCTCACCTTGGTGTGATTGTTAGCCATTGAATGACTATAGAATCTGTAGAAAATTTTGATGATGCCTCCTCCAAGAAGAAAGAAATGGACGGAGGCAGAAGAGAGAACCCTAATAGACAAGTACGGTGAGATGGTTTGTGATGGGACTTTAGGGAAAATGAAAACCAGAGAGAAAAAGTTCAAACCCATTGCTTTGTATGTCAATTCTATGCACTACGTTCGCGACCCGATCACCTACCCGTGGCAATGGACTTGGAAGGATGTGTCTACCAAAGTGCAGAACATGAGGCACCAATATTCATTGGTGAAGCAAAAGATCAAGAAGCATGAATTTGTGGGTGATTCGGCGGTGGAAGAGTTTGATTGGGTTGAGGGGTTAACTCATTGGTCAAATTTTTTGAGGTATAAGGAGGTTTTTGGGGATGTGGCACTTGTTTTTAATGGTAATGATTCGATGGTGGTTGCGGGAGAGAACAATGAAAATGGTGAGGGGTTTGATGGGAGTGGTCATGGAATGGAGATTGTGCAATTTGGGCATCTTGGTCATGGAGGGGATGGTGATTTTGGCGTGGGTTTCGATGGGGGTGATAATGGGGTTATGGGTTTGGACTTTGAGTATGATGGGGAGGAAGGAGATGATACCCATAATTGTAATAATAATAATAATAATAATAATAATAATAATAATAATAATAATAATAATAATAATCATTCAAAGGTGGATGGAGATGATGGATTTGTGTATGAAGATGTTGAGCCGAGTGGGTCTGATACGAGGAAGAAGAGGAAAGTTTTGAAGGGGATGGGGAAGAGGCCATGGGGGTTTCTTGCAAACCAGTTAGGGCAGTTGAGGGAATTGGAAACTCGATTTGAGCATCGGGAGGTGGAGAGAGAGCGGGAGAGGCAAAGGAGGGAGCATCTCCGAATAGAGATGGAGCAGGAACGCGAAAAGAAATGGGAAGAAAGAGAAAAGGAGAGGGAAGAGAGGGAGAAGGGTAGGGAGAAGTTGAGGAGGCAGAGGGTTCGGGAGTGGGAAGCTATGGAGGAGGAAAGTGAAGAGAGGGAAAGAAGAAGAAGAGAGGAAGAATTGATTTATGAGAGGGACTGGGAGGAAAGGATGAACCGGAGGAGATCAGAATGGAAGAAGAGGATCGATGAGATGTTGGGCCAGCATCGAGCAGAAATGGGTCAAATTCAGACTCGAATCCTTCATGAACAACAGAACCTTACCAATCAGTTCCTTGGGATTGTTTCACAGTGGACTGGTCATCCAACTGGGCTCACTGATCACACTGGAGCTAGCAATCATTATTTGTCACAAATGATGCAGAACTTGCACCATGTGAATGGCATTGTCCATGGCGACACAAGAGTTGAGGGTGATAATCAAGATGATCAATTCATTGTTGATGGATAATATCACTCTCCATCACTAATTTCCTCTCAGCTGGCTCAAATTGAAAGTAGCATGCAGGAATGTGGTGGTGAGAAGAAGTGTAAAGGTCAGAGATTTGTTATGTGTTTTACTGTTTACTTTCAATTAGGTATTTATTATATCAGTCTGTGTAGTTTGAGTTTTTGCTTTAGTTTTATTTTTTGGTCCAATAGTTTTCATTTTAGTGAATAAGGGATGTAGATTTCCGTGTTTCAATTTTTTATGTAACTATTCTTGAATATAAATTCACTCTTTTCTAAATATGCTACAACTTCATGGTTCAATTTTTGTTTAGTTTTCTATACTTTGCCTCCCTTTTTATATTGCTTGAAGAAGAAATAAAATGGAAAAGTTCATTGAGCAATTTTGTTAAAATCAAGTAAAGCATGATAGTTTTTGTTTTTTTGTTGTTGATATTTTTTTGTTTAGTTTTTGGGTTGTGCTTACAATTTAAGGAATTAAATGGCAGGTTCACTTTCCACCTAAGAAGCACACACATACACATGTGATATGATATGGGAACATTGACATGAAAATTTTAAAAAATGTAGAACACGACACAAGTAGTAGACATGAAAAAAATATAGTTTTATATATTTATTATATGTCATATATAAGGGTCAACATATATTATGTCATGTAAATGAATATTTAATTCAAAAATGATAACAAAATGTAATGTAACACTAATTTCCAAAGTTTAAAGGAAGAGAATATGTATAATTTTACATTTTTTTCATTTAATAATTGGATTCCAATTTATTTTATTCAAGGTTTTTATTTTTTAATATATATATATATATATATATTGGATCAGTGACAAGAGAAATTTTATTGAGAGGATAAAAAAGGTACAATCAAGAGGACAAGGAGTCCACCACAAAAACTAAAAGAACAAAAGACTTTCCCAATGGAGACTGAATCAGACTTAGTTATGTAGGTGCTAAAGTAGTTCATTTCATTGGGGTTTCCTCATATGAGGTTGATCGTGCACTATGATCATGTTGAACTCTATCTACAAGAAATGATCTTTCTTCAAGCGGAAGAAGGATGATTTAGCATAATTTGAAGTAATGTACTTTTTGTTTGTTAGCACCTCGTAGGTGTTAACAATTCCTTGGGACTATTGGACTGGAAAAACCTTTGAATTAACCGTGGTGCACTTGTGGGAAACTCGTTGCCGAGAGCCTGTGCACCCCTGGGGATTAGTCGGGCTTTAATCTGGACACTCCAGTACCAATAAAAAAAAATTGTACTTTTGGTTTGTCCACGCTCTTTGTCCACCGCCAGGCATTGTTCTTGTATTGAGGAAATAGAAAAAAGTGTTTTTAACTAGTTTTGAAAACAAGTTTTGATTCCCACCTCCCTCTGGTCACCCCCCACCCTTCAGCCACCTCCCCTCCTACCACCCTACACCCTTTGGCAACTCACCAAACATGTATTGTTTTTGTTTGTGTTTTGAAAACATGTGTGTAACAAAAGCAAATAACAAAAGCAACATGTAACTTTTTACTATATTTGGTGACATCACCAATTATGTTACTGGCATTACTGAACACAATCTTACTTTTTGGCTTGGGTGCTTCTTGTACGGTTATCATATGTGAATTTATTGTTGCAACAGGTAGAAAAGGTAGCTGAGGGTTTTCATTTTTTTTTGCCATGTCCTTTTTAGTTAAACTTCATCATCCACATTAGCATTGGTATTATTATTATCAGTATTAGTCTTGCTGCTGTTAGTATTAGTGCAGTTAGGGGCAGGGGGAATTTTGCTGTATGCTTCTTGAAAGTTATTGGGAGGAAATTACTTTTTTTATAAGACGTGTAGTTTGATGGTGATTACTTGCCTATGGGATGTGAAGGAAACTGACTTGACTTGCTTTTAGTAATTGACTTGCTGTTGCAGTGCACTTTATCAAAGAAAATCAAGTATTTGTTAGTGGACTTAGTTTCACAAGATAAACTTGGATTTTACCATTGTTTGAATAATTTTGCTGCTGGTAAGATAGTTGTAGTTGTTTGTCATGAGTAAAATGAATTTGTACTTCTTAAATATGCTGTTTATGGTTCATAGCTTTGTGGTGCACATTTGAAAATTGTGAATTTAGAAAGAAATTCGATACATATGGTTTGATGATTTAACCATTGAGGTGGTTATTGGATGTTTGAAATGAAAAATCACCATCCTAACCTTGTGAGATTCCTTGTTGCATCATTCAGAACTCAGATGTTCATTCTTTAATTAGAAATAGCTTCATTTCTTGGCAATGTAATGTTGTTGTTGGGCAGGGGGTTTATCTGGGGATTTTAGACTCCATTTTCTTGCCGTACAAGCCTATCTGTAGTATTGTCATCCTAGAATTAGTATTTGATAATTTTTTTCGTGTGATTCTGTTAATCTTGTACTAGCTTTTATTTCTTTCTTCTGACAGTAACAGAGCAGGGTGATATTCTTTGCTATTTCTATGATAATAAATTGCTTTTGTAAAGAAAAATAGTAAAGGAAGAAGAACTAATCAGCTATGTTTTAAACAAAAGAATTTCTATTCAGAGTAAATGGGGGTTTAGAAGAATGTTTCGTCATATGAAAGTGATGTCATTGTTAGTAACCGGTAAAGCCAGAACCACTCGACCTGTGCTAGGGTAAAGTGCAGGGAAGGCACGCAAATCCCAGGTGTTTGTGTGTTTTGTGGGCGAGTTAGGTGGTTTGATACGAGTCTTGGTTTTGAATCAAATTTGTGAAAAATGAAAGAAACGACTTACCTTTAAAATATTGTGGATGGATGCGCTGATAAAGTAATTAGTAACCCCATCTTGTTTTATAAAAGTTTGTTTAAACTATATGGTTTATATCCATTTGCACTCGCTCATGTCACTAGTAATATTTGAGAATTTTAGCAGTTTTCTATTGAGCTAGTTGATTGAAGCTCACCTTTTGGAGGCTTTTGAATGAGGTAACCTTGTAACTTCTTTTAGGCTGTATCTAGATTATAGATTTAGGTAAAAATTTAAAAAGAAAAAAGGTGGGTGAAATATATGTGAAATGTAGTTATATTTCATTCATGTTTCACTTGCGTTTTCTCTCTTTTCTCAAATTCCTATTCAAAATCCATGATCCAAACACATTCTTAATAGAAACAAGTAGTATTATTTGTGCCATAGGGCACAAATTTTGTTGTATGGTTATGAACTCCGTGGTATGGGCATGTATTATTCTTGTTCCTAGGTTGACTTAATTAACATTTTGAGGTTGTATAACTCCAATTTGGTTTACATTTGGGTATGTATATTGGCTAATGGTAGATTTATTATTTATTTATTTTTTAAGAATGATGAATGCATGTATGGGAGTATGCTTGTATGATTGATAAGGGAATGCATGTATGAGAGTATGCTTGTATGATTGATAAGGTGGTTCTATTGAGGCGTATGGTTTTGTTGGCCAAATTAAGTTGAATTGAGTGAATTGAGTGAGGAGATTACTAGTGTGATGGTATAATAGTATAAAGTTGGAGATATAATATAAATTGTTTTTATTTATAAGTAGTATGTGGTATTAGTTGGAATTAATTTTATAAATTATATAAATGCTCTCAATATATAAAATGTAATTTTGTTATTTTTATAAAGTGCAAGTATAATGGTATTTTCAACTTCAATACCATGTAATTGGGATTGGGATTGCTAATACCTACTTGGAGGGGTAATTCCATGGGGTTGTTACTCTTATAACATTGTTCCAAAACAAATATGATTTATGTGAAATTTACTGAATTGTTAGTTTAATTCCACTACCTAAAGCCTATATGATCCATCAAAAATGTTTGAGATCCCCTTTCTCTTCCACCCTTTTGACCCCCTTTCTCTTCCATTGGCCAGTTTTTCTTTTCCATTTTTTTTCTGTTCCTTTTCCTCCAATTACCACCCACCACGTGTTTGTAGGGGTGGTGATTGGAGGGGGTCTCTATCAATGCTCTTCCATTTGTTCCCAATCGCACTTTTGAACAAATTTTATTTTTATATTTTTGGGTAAATTACAATTATTGTCTTCTGAGATTTGTTTAAAATATAGATTGTCTATTATAGTTTGAAAAATTACAAATATTCTATTATCAATTGAAAAAAATGAATTTTCTAACTGCTTTCTTATACAATAATAAAATTATTTAAATTATTAATTGAAATAAATTTATGATATTATTAAAAATTATTAATTGCTTTAATGATCTATTATTAAAAGGGGTCATTTGTTATGAAATTAGAAATTTCGAGAGCCGGGATATAATCTTTAGAACTATATAGAGTAATTTGTATTTAAAGTAAATTTCAAGAAATGTTTATAATTTATCTTATTTTTTAAAGAAGGGCCTATTTTCTACTATCGTTTGATTTAGTGGATCATTTCATAATGTTGCTAGAAATGTGATTTTACTGATTAATTATCCCCCCAAAAATAAAGGAATCTTTTATTGAGTATGTAATTGTTAAAAAGAGTAACTTTAAATATTATTAAAACCATACCGGTGTATATTTTTAAAACCATACAAGTATAATATTAAAACTTTTTAACAATTACATATCCACAATATACTTGTATGGTTATTGTGGGATAATTTTGCTCTCGCAAGTCACAATAGAAAAACAGTGGTGTATTTTGCCCACACAAAATAATACGTGGATTATCTTAGATTCTTTTAAATTGCATAGTGATATATCACATCATGGAGATAGCTTCTATGCAGTTCACATAGCAAATTGAAATGTAATGTTAGGTTTGTAGGCCAGCATGAGTTCTATTTTGATAATTTAAATATTTTAATGTATAGAGTTTATTGAGTATTTTATATTTACAAATAATCACGCTGATCGGATATTGATGGTCCCTTAATTAGACCACATTTTTGTTAATAATTTATTTTTAAAATCATATTTATCATTGACAAAAATGTGTTTCGATCAATGGACTATTAATATTCAATCAACGTGATTTTTTACAAGCATAAATTATTCGACGAGTTCTACATATTCAACGTTTCGAATAATCGAAACGAGACCTATGATGGACTCTACGGGTCCAACAGTGCACTCCAATTTACTATGTGGAGTGAAGAGAAACCTCTCCCATCACATATATATTAGCTATATGTAACCACTCATCCCTATCACCTGATAATATAGGATGATGGATTATTTTTATCAATAGGATAAGTTGAAATCATGAGTCTCTCATGATCATACCACCATGAGTGCTCAAACCCAGATTAAAACCCCACCGATGGTTATGTAAGAGAGGATGAGGA